TGAACTTGGGCCTTTTGGCTCCAAATCTTTAATCATATTATGCGGCTTCTATGTACTTTATAAGAGGCAGTTTGTTGTAGCAGTTAGAACCAGACTTAAAGACAAAAGGACACAAGTTCAAATTCTATCTCTGACATATACTGGCTATGTGACCCTGGGCAAGTCACTTAACCTTCCTCTGGCTCAGTTTCCTCATTATAAATGGGGATAAAATCTACCTCTCAGGGTTGTTGTAAAGATAAAATAAGGTAATATTTGTAAAACACCCTGCAAACCTCAAATGCTAGCTATTATCACTACTACCACTATTATTATTCAGATCAGAAATGGATTTATTTCTTGGCAAGGGGACAACATACTACTGTGTTTGTGCATTTTAGAAGGACTGCTCCATGAAGACACACTCAGTTTGTTTTCCAAATGACCTAAAGCTACTGGGTATGGAAATCAACAGTATTCTACATACTCGAAGAATGTTAATAAGAGATATTAAAGATTGACAGTCGATGGGGGAACGCAGAATGACAGCAATGATACCTGTTCTTGATGCATCATTTGTCACTTTACGATTCACAAAGCACTTTTTTCCAACTACCCTGTTCGTTCTTTGTTAATGACCAAGAAAATAGGGGCAGGGATGGTGGTCACTAGACTGTCTTCTGGAGAACATAACCATTCAGAATAATAGTGGCTGACATTCATATAGCACCAGAAATGCAGTAACTCATTTGATTTTTACCATCTCTCACCTAAGGTAAGGAATGCAGGCCTTATAATCTCTATTTCACAAGTGAGAAAGCTGAGGCTCAGAGGAATGATTTGCTCAAGGTCACATAGTTTTTTTTTTCTTCAAGTCAGCAAGTATTTATTAAGTGCCTACTGTGTGCCAGACACTGTGCTAAGAGCTGGGGTGCAAAGAAAGGCAGAGACAGTCCTTACTTTCAAGAAGCTTGGGGTCTCATGAAAAAGAAGACAATGTGCAAACAATTACATACAAACAGAACTGAGAAAACCCACTGAGATGAGTAGTTAAAGCATATTCAAAGAGATGGAAAAGGAAAACTGAGGCCCCAGAGATAGGCAGAGGCTTTCCCATGGTCACAGAGAGTTTGTGCCAGAATCAGGAACTTCTGCCCCCTGGAACCACACTTTTTTCACTGCAGAGAGGTCCCACAGTTAAGAAGCAGAGCTTGAGCCAAGGCCTTCTAGAGCCAAGGATCAGGTTCTTTCCATTACGCCACTGTCTTCTACCAGCTTTGAGGATTCAGTCATTTAATCACTAAGAATTTATCAAGCACCTACTCTGTTCCAAGCACTGTCTTAGTTGCTGAGGATACAAAAGCAAAAAAGGAATATGGCTGCCCTCAAGAGGCTTACATTGGGGGGCGAGCAAAGAACACAACATGAACACAGAATGGTAAATACAAATATAGAAACTGGGCCTGAACTAAGCTCGTGTCACAGAGTGGAGAGAAGTGGATAGCTGCAAGATGCAAGAGGTGTTTTAGAGGCCAAATCGAGAAGATTTAGTAACTGATTGCTTACAAGGGAGAGGGAAAAGTGTAGGATGACTTTGATCTAGCAAATTTAGATGACTAGAAGCATGGTGATGCTCTTGAAAGAAACAGCAAAGAGCAGGAAGATAGTGAGGTTTGTTTTGGACATGTTGAGTTTCAAATGTCAATGGAACATTCATTTGCAAATGTCCAATAAGCTTGATGTAGGGATGAGCTCAGGAGAGAGACTGGAGCTAGATATATCTGTCTGGGAGTCACCTGTATAGAGGTGATAATTAAATTCACTGGAGCTGACCTACTCCCCAAGAGAAAGATTACCTTTATTTAAGGATAGGGGCAGTCAATTGAGGAATTAATGGGGTTATGGGACCTGAACCTCAAAAAGGAAAAGACCCTCAGTCCTTGAACTTTCCCACACTATCCTAAGACCATGTCTTTGCCTTGAACTTTCCCACACATTTCAGCAGCCCAGATCTCTGATTCTCCTGAGGCATCTGGCCCATCCTGCTCAATAATCCTTTTAACTGTCCTTTCATTGTGGCCCTTTGACCCAGCCCAGCCTTTCATTGTCTGTTACCTCTGGACCACCCCAGGCTACTTGCCATTCCTTAATGCCATCCAAATTTTCTCACAGTTTTTTTTTTCCTGTATAAAAGTACTAATCTTGTGGGGAATTACAGGTGGCAGACCCTGCATGCACTTCCAGACTCATTTGATGTGTTGGTTGTTATTATGGAACTACTGTTTTCCCCTCTTTTTGAAAAATAATTTATTACAAATGAGGGCTCATTGAGGGAGGGGCAGTGGGAGGGACATATCTGGGAATGAAAATTATTTTTTAAAAAATTATTTTCATGTTTAAAGTTTCTATTCTAGTATATGTATGAGGAGGGGTAGTGGCTTTTTAAAAAATGTCTGTTTTTTCTAAATTTCCTAAAATTATCATCTCTCAGATGCTGAGACCCTTGTGCCATTTTCATTCTTTGTTATCCTGAGTGCTCTTATAAATAGTTCAACACATAATTAACAAATGCTTGTTGATTACTGGCTTCTTTTTCCTCCTAAGACCTATAGAGATGAGACTTCCTTGAGAGACAGGAATCAGGAGGGAAATTAACAGTAAATATCTCCAAAAAAAGTCACTCATGTCCATAAGGATCTTTTATGAAAGATACTCTATCTCTCTTATACTTCTACAAACATGGGAAGGGGGTACATTTTCTTGTCTCTTCTTTCAAGGACAAGCTTGGTGAGTATCAGAGGGATCTGGGTTAAAGCTGGTCTTTTGAAAAAAATGGGGGGCAGCTAGGTGGTGAAGTGGATAGAGCTTCAGCTTTGGAGTCAGGAGGACCTGAGTTCAAATCCGGCCTCAGACATATGACACTTACTACCTGTGTGACCCTGGGCAAGTCACTTACCCCTACTTCCTCCCCAAAAAGCAGAACAAAAGAAGCTTTCAGAGATCAACATTTTACATTGCCTTTGGGCAGAGCGCTCACAAGTAAAAGTGTGATAACCTATGTAGGCAGAGGGAAGGGAAATAGAAGGCAGGAAAGAAAGAGGGAGGGAGGAAGGCAGAGAGGAAGGAAGGAAGGCAGGCTGGCTGTGTTGCTGAACTGGCCAGTTCCACTTTGATTCCCAGTGGGCAGCTCCTTTTGACTAAGTAAAGGGGCCATTCTCTGCCTCAATTCTTATTAAGCTTTAATCACTGAATGGGTGTTGCTTCAGTCAAACTGAGACCTGTTAAAGACCTTAGCTTGAAAAGGCCAACATCTCCCACCGCATCTTGGGACACGTCTAGTTGTTTTGATCTATATCTGGCCACTAGACCCAGATGGCCCCAGAAGAGAAAGGGAGACCGGTGATTTTGCACAGCACTCCCTCACTTAAATCCAATTCACTTACATGTCATGGCATCACTTCCTTGATGTCATGGGCCTCTTCGAGAATGAAGGACAAATAACAACCAGTCTTGTCCCTATCAAATTCGAAGGTTTGCTAGAAATCTTGCCTGCCCAATCGATGTATAATAAACCTTGCTACTCTGACTGAAAGAAGGCTTGAGTGGTCGAATTCTTTTGAGGCAGACCTGCCCTGTACCCTTGCATTTTGGGTTTCCTAGCACCCCAAACTGCAACAGAATCATTTTACTGACTTGAAATGTTCCTTCTCAATTTGCAGCTGTTATAGTCCCCTTGAAGAGTAGTAAAAGGTTGGTTACTGAGAACAGCATACCCTAGGGAGAAATGAATAAATTCTATTACTGACATCCATTCTCCCTTGGGCTAGATCCACACTAGTTGACGATAACCCAAATATAAAGGATTAAATTCTCTGCCACTCTCTTGCCCCAATAAGTAAGCTCTGTGGGACACTGGAGAGAGCATTGGACCTGAGTCAGGAAGCTCTGAGTTCAAATCCTGCTTCAGACATTTATTAGCCATGTGACCCTGGGCATATCACTTAAACTCTCTTTGCCTCAGTTTCCTCACCTGGGAATAATAGTAGTACCTACCTCACAAGGTTGTTGTGAGGATAAAAAATGAGACAATATTTGTAAAGTGCTTAGCAAACCTTGAAGTGCTAGTATTAAATTGCTAGCTACTATTATTTACATGTATGTGTCAACATTTCCTACGAAGAATGCCTTTTTGGGAGATCAAACAAATGGGAAAAGGACCCACATGTACAAAAATATACATAGCAGCTCTTTTTGTGGTGGCAAAGAATTGGAAATTGAGAGGATGCCCATCAATTGGGGAATGGCTGAGCAAGTTGTGGTATATGAATGTAATGGAATACTATTGTGCTATAACAAATGATGAACAGGCTGACTTCAGAAAAACCTGGAAAGACTTATATGGTCTGATGCTGAGTGAAGTGAGCAGAACCAGGAGGACTTTGTACACAATAACAGCCATGTTATACAATGACTAAGATTGTTAAACTGAACCTTTCTCAGCATTATGAGGATCTAAGACATTTCCAGAGGCCTCGGGATGGATAATGCTGTTCATGTCCAATGAAAGAACTATGGAAGTCGAATCGCTATCATTTATTTTTACCTTCTGTTGAGTTTTGTTTCATCTTTCTGATGGTTCCTCGTATTGGTTTTAATTTTTACTTACAACTTCACTAATGTGAAAATATGTTTAATGGGTATGTAAATGTAAAGCCTATATCAGATTGTGCGCCATCTTGGGGAGGGTGGGGGGGAGAGGAAAAGGGAGAAAAAATTTCAACTCAAAAGCATATGGAAAAAAAAAAAAGAGAATGCCTCTTTGGGGCCATAAAGACAAAGACCAGACAGATTGCTCCTTCCATTGCAGCGATGAGCACACCGGGAGGAAATTCCTTTCTACCTGCTTCCCACAGTGAACTTAGATACCCATCTTCTAGTTCTCATATTCTGCTTCATTCTATCACTAATTATCCAATGTTACAATATCTGAACAAGGAAAAACCAAACCTTTTGCAACATACCGAAAATTGTCATGCAGCAATCTTCTTTGAAAGAAGTGTGGGTCCACTCAGTGCTGCACCATGTGAATCCTGCAAGATACAGAACACAGGTAGAATGAGTTCATTCAGTCCGGAAAACAATTGCTTGCATTTATACAGCACCTAATAGTTTGCAAAACACTTTCCTTGCAAACTTCCCTGGGTACAGAGGCAGTGTGTTGTGGTAGAAAAAGTATGGGATTTGATGTCAGAGTTGTTGTTAAGTTATTTCAGTTGTGTCTGACTCTTGGTGACCCCGCTTGGGGTTTTGTTGGCAAAGATACTGGAGTGGTTTGCCATTTCCTTCTCCAGCTTATTTTGCAGATGAGGAAACCAAGGCAAACAGAGTGAAGTGACTTGCCCAGGGTTACCCAGTTAGTAAGTGTGTAAGGCCAGATTTGAACTCTGGAAGATGAGTCTTCCTGACTTCAGGTTGGGTGCTCTGTCCACTGCCCCATCTAGATGCCTTTGAAATCAGAGGATTTCAGTTCAAATCCATATTCTGTTACTTATTACTGTGTGACCTTGGGTAAGTCACAACTTCTTTGGGCTTCAGTTTCCTTATCTTTACAATGGGGGAGCTGGACTAGATTCCTCTCTAAGGACTCTTCTTGCTTGCCATGATCAGGGAACCCGCAGTTGAGGTAGCTTATGTGCAATGTTATCTCCATTTTACAAATGAGGAAACTGAGGCCAAAGAGGCTAAATGCATTGGCCATAGTGACACAGCTTAATAAGTAGAAGAGTCGGCACCAACTCAAAGCCAGGTCTTCTGACTCTCAGACTCTTATCTATTGTAATACACTGCCTCCCTTTTGGCTAATGAACATGTGTGTTTTCCCTGGGATTTGATACAAAGTATTCCCCCCCTTTTCCTTTATAAGTCTGATGACTGATACTTACTTGAGCTCTAGATTCTATTTTAAATATTAGAAAAAGGGAAATATAAATGTTTTATATTTCATTTACTTCATAATCTCTTCTTTGGGTAAAATAACACTAATTTCTTTACCTTTCTGCCTCGGTCTGACTTTCTGACTCTTTAATACTATTGAAACCCGCAGCATAGATGCTTAGGATATGTTTGTTAAATTCAGTTGTGGCTTTTCTGGAAGTTCCAAACTCAGTCAATACACATTTTATACTATGCACTAGACACTGTACTAAGCTCTGAGGATACAAGAAAAGTAAAAAAGACTGTTCCTGCTCTCAAGGCGCTCACAATCTAATAAGGAAGACACCACCTAAACCACAAGCCGAGCTATAGACAGGATAACCTGGAAATGCTGAATAGAGGGAAGGCTCTAGAATTAAAAGGAGTTGGGAAAAGCTTCCCATAGGAGGTGGATTTTTAGTTGGGACCTGAAGGAAGCCAGGGAAGCCACCTGGGGAAGCCCAAAGTGGAGTACACTAGTAAAGATTTGGCCAAGGTTAAATACAAAGGCAACGACAACTCCTGTTTTGATAGGGCTTCAAGGTTTACAAAACATTTTTCTCACAACAACCCTATGAGGTAGGAAGTGTAAACACTAGTACTCTCATTTTACAGAGGAGGAAATGGTGGCCCAGTTTCCCCAGACAGGAAGTGGCAAATAGGTGATTCAAATCCTGGCCCCCAGCTTCCATATCCAAAGTCCTTTGCACAAACACTGCTGCCTCGTGCATGCTGCCGTTCATGCATTGGGATGCTTATTTTCTCTAGTGACAAAACGATTTAGTGTCTTTTCCCAGCTACTTTTAAATCTCCTTGGTTGTTGTACATTTTTGTATTCGTGAAATGTGGAAAGTACTGGAGCTCCCCAGGGAAAAGAGTGGGCATCCTGCTGTTTCCACATGAGTGGGTACAGGTGTGAGAAGAGGCCAGAGGGAATGAGGAGGTGGAATAAGGCTGAGGACCAGCAATAAGCCAACTTCCAAGTGACGTGCAGTAGACAGTCAGTCAATTAATAAACATTTAGTAAGCATCTACTATGTGCCAGGCACTGGGCTAAGTGCTGGGGATACAAAATGAGGCAAAAGACAGTCCCTGCCCTCAAGGAGGTTGCAGTCTAATGGGGGAGACAACATATAAATAAATATATACAAATAAGTTATATATTGGATAAATTGGAAATAATTAAAAGAGAGAAAGCATTAGAATTAAGAGGAGTAACATGGTATATGGACCAAAGGAATGGATTTGGAGTCAGAAGACCTGTGTTCAAATCCTGACTCATGCTTATTATCTCTGTGATTTTTGGGAAGGTCACTTCCCCTCTCAAGGACTATTTCCTCAACAATAAAATGAGGAGATTGAAGTAGATACTTTAAAGCCCATTTCCAACTCCAAATTATATGATCAGAAAATTCTTTCTGTGATCAGGAGTTTATGGTTGGTACTTTGCATACTATAGAATAAATTAGCAGAGGCTTGACACTCAGAGCAAATTCAGTTGTATAGGAGAGGGGGAACTGAGGCCAAGACATGTAGCCATTGTCATGATCTTCAGTGTCCCACATGGAATGGATTCCTAGGAAATGAGTAAGAAGTTTGTCCCCGTACTGTGGCATCGAGTTAGTTCAGTGGTGCAGACAGCCTGCCCCAGGAGAGGGGCATTCTGATCTTTGGGTGGTGGTTCTCACCTCAGAGTACTAACATGGGGCCTTTTTTCCCAGGTGGTCCCCTGTGCATTTCAAATTGCAGGAATATCACCCCCTCCCAATGTAGCTATGCTGGGGCAAAGTCCCAGTGGCCCTGTCCTAGTAATAGCTCTGTAAAATGAATTTGAATCTAGCTGGCCCTCAGGAAGAAAGACTCAAGTGACTCGCTAAACAAATTGTATTTTCATATGTCTTTACCTTCTCTCTCTAAAGACCTAACAGTTAAGGATGAAATTAAGCAGCTTGGCTCTGCCACTTACTACTTGTGGGGCCTTGGGCAAATCATTTAACTTTTTTGGGGCCTTGGTTTCCTCATTTGAAAAATGATGACCTTTAGCATCCTTTCTAGCTCTGAGTCCGACAATCCTATGCCAGCTATAGTGGGCCTCTGCTTTCTACCTTGTCTCCTAAATCAAAGGGCACCCCTTGGGCCACCAGTTTTGTACGCTCCCCATTGTGCCGAGAGCTCCTGCAGGTACCGCCATCTGTTCCTCCCGGGCCACTGACACAGCCTGCACATTTACTTTTACTTTGAGGCTGCAGAGACCTAACAGCAGCTGCTAGGATTCATGAGCAGGCAGCACCAGCTGGTAGGTGCAAGCTTTGCAACTTCTCAGATTCTGTCTCTCCATAGGGTTTTATAAGATTGTAGAGAAAATGTGGCCCCGTTAACTTGACCTACCCCCTCCATCTTCCACACAAGAAGTCAGGAGAGCCATCAGATTTTTAAAGATAAATTACTCATTAAAAAAATCCTCAAATGCGGCAGCGGCCGCAGCAAGCAGCAGCTCAGGCACAACTGTTTGAGTCACCTGATACAAATAAGAGATGGGACAAATTGCATCTTCAGCTTGCCTTCTTGCAAAGACATCCAGAGAAGAACAGCTTTTCTTTTGCTAAAGCACCAGTGACCATGAGTCAGATCTGTAAGTCTCCTTCCCTTTTCTCCCAGTCTTGTTTCTGGGGTTACAGGGAAGGTCCCCTGAATAGTCTGTGGTAGCCCATTTCACAGAAATGTTATGAGGCCATCTCATTCAATTTCTAGTTTTCAATTTAGAGAGAATGTATCCACTAAGGCTAAAGGAATATACTAAAAAGGAGTAGGAAAGTCGATGACCCTATTTAGGATTCTCTTGGCAAAAATACTGGAGTGGTTTTGGTATTTCCTTCTCCAGCTCATTTTACAGATGAGGAAACTGAGGCAAACAGGGTTAAATGACTTGTTCAGGGGTCACACAGCTAATAAGTGTCTGAGGTCAGATTTGAACTCAGGGAGATGAGTCTTCCTGCCCCTGGGTGGGTGCTGTATCCATTGTGCCACCTGGCTGCCCATCCTTAAAATCTAGCACAGTGCTAATTGAATTAAATGAATCGGCCTGTCTTGTCTTAGTGAACACTATACCCTTTCACATGCTGAACTGCTTGCTGTTGCCTAATCTGTTCTCCCTACTCTCTGTTTCCTTCCTATTCCCAATTCCCTCTCCCACTTTTGTGCTTTCTTCACGTGTTCATACCTCCATGCCAGATTCCTTCCTTTTGATTTTTTAAAATTAAATTTTTTTTTATTCTGAGCTTAACACCCCCTTCCCAAGCATGAGTATTTCCAGATACAAAGTAGGACATAAAAGAGGATTATACATGAAACTGTGAAACTCTGTTATGTACAGCTTGCTTTTTAAAAAAGTATTTAAATTCAACATGGTTCTTTCAAAACTATTACGCTTGTCTGTGTTTCCTTCTGTTCTCTTCTGTGCATCTAAAAAAAGGTTTCAATGGATCTCTTTTTGCATCACTACTGCTAATCTCACTCCTTCTAACCCCCTCCCCCCAATCGTGTAACAAACAGTCAAGCAAAACAAGTTTGTATAATGGCCATTTGTGAAAATGGATGTCTTTCTGCAACTTGAGTCTATCACCTTTCTGTTACCTTTTGGGAACATGTCTTCTCATTCTCTCCCCCTTTTGAAAGCCTGTCCTTCCTCCAAGGCTCTGCTAGGGATACACCTCTTTGGTGAAAGTCTTCTCCATTCCCTCTAGCTGAAAATGATATCTCATTATGTGGATCTTTCCCTTTTATGCACTTTCCACGTTTTAATTTGTGGCATAGATATTTGTATACCTGCTTTTTCTCTCCTATTCATTTATAAGCACCTTGAAGGCATACACTGTCTTATGTCTTCTTTGTATCTCTCTCAGTGCCAAGCAGGGGACCTGGCACATAGTAGGCATTTAAATGGTTTTGAATGAACTTGACACATGTGATGAACCCTTATGATACACTCACAACTTTCTGTGATTTGGTTGACACAGAACAACAATTATAAACATACATTAGAGATAGTACAAAGCTGGGTAACTCATGGCCCTGGTCCTTAAAGAGCTTGGGGTTTAATGGGTACCTTCTAGTCTAG